GAAACATAGAGAAAAGTATCTATTTTCGCTACACCAGGAGACATTTTTTTTTCTCCACTGAAGAGATGTTGGACCTTCGGCAACTCCTTCTCCCCTTCCTATCTCTTGTACTATAACACCACTCTGAGTCACGCTTTCTGATTCTATATTTATACAATACCTAGCTCTGGGCACCTCTGCACTTGCAATTACAGTGCATGAATAAATTGCGGAGCTTATTGCTCCAAAGTTAATTGCCCTTGGTTGCAGGTTCAAATTGTGAACCCAGGAGCAATTAATTTCATAGCAGTAAGGTCTGCAGTTTATTCATGCGCAGCACATTGAGCCTGGCCAGAGCACCCCTGCCTGGCAGGGGATCTCAGGGGGTTAGCCTGCCAACCCAGGGCTGCCCCCCAGAGCTCAGTGTGCTGCGGAGGAGCTGGCTGGAGCACAAGGGAGCTTCAGCACAGGGCAACCGCTGCAATGAAGTATCCTCTTGCCCTAGCCAGCTCCTCCAGTGTCTACAAGTACTATCCTGTGGACTAAATTCATTTACTCCAGCCTAATAGGGGTGCACATTTAGATGCTGGGACACACTGTGTAGCTAATTATTCAACTGCGCAGTAAATGTCTTGTGTAGATGAGCCCGCTGATATTTGGTTCAAATCCTCCAAATTATTATGCATCTTTGCAAGATTTTAAAAAAGAAAATCTTCATTCTGTTGCAGGATTGATTTTGCTGTAAGCCCTTTGCTAGACCAGATCATTAGGTAGTGCACACCTGGAGAATTCCACTAATATCCCAATAGCATCACCTTTTCACACCAGCAGAGGCTGTAGATGTGATAAAGGAGTGACACCAAAAAAATTAGTGATTGATATAATCCCTACCGTGTACACAAGCAATGCATATGCAGCTGTGTAGTGTACTGCAATCTGTAATCCTCCCACGTTCTCAGGAAAGCATGCTTCAGTGCTCAGTGGTGGCTGTTAGCGAAAAACAAGAGACTTTCCTTAGGTGGTTGAAACCCGGTGCAGAAGAAGGAGGGATAGCATGTGCATAGTCTGGAAAAAGGTGCCAGCTGGTCTGCAGGGAGCTCACCCTTGGAGGTTTGAAGTGTTGTACTCCTGGCAGCCCTCAGGTGAGGCACGTCCTTTTCCCTGAAGAAAGTGGGGCAAGGTCCTGAGTCACAGCTAATTCTGGTTTACAAGCCATAAACAATGAGGCAGAGGACATCTAATGTTTTAGTGCTGTTGAATATTAAGAACTAAGGGTAATCATAAATAGGGAAAATCTTTTCTCTGCCAATGCACATCTTATCTGATGGGCAGCAGAACCAGTGCTGCGTTTCATGGGTGCTCATATCTCCCAGCATCCGGGACTTTTGGTGGGCAAAACAGGCATCTAGCCAAATTACCTGCAACCACCTAGATCCATACCCAGGCCAGAAGAGGCAGGGGCACAGGAACTCTGGGGAGAATCTTAACTCTAAGATTGCATAAGTGCTCATGCTGGCTCTGCTGTGAATCTGTAGCACAAAGGAAAGGGCATGTTTCTGGTACAAGGAGCAGAACTTACTGCTGGTTCTGAGAGTATCTGAGTGCTGCAAATTCAAGTATGGTTGTGAGCAAACCTCATATTTTGCAGTTTTAGCTCTTTACATTTAAAATAATCAGTCCCACCTAATGATGCACTACAGAGTAAGCACAGAATTTAGGCCCCCTGCTGTCCTTTGCCAGCTGGTCAGTCAGTCAGAGGCCCTTTCTACTACAGATGTTGTAAGTGTTTCTATTTCTCAACCTTCCTTTTTCCAAATAGCTTTGGAAAGGTTTTCAAAATTGCATGTGGTATCTGCACTCCCAGCTCCACTTTTGGTTCATATGAATGAGGAAAACTAGTCTCTTGTGGAGGCATTTGAAATTCTTCATCTCCCCTTTGTCAATGAAAACCGAGCAAAAACAGTTACCACCTCTGACCTCCTGCGTAGGCCTATACTCAGTCTCATTTGAGACAATGAGGAATAACTAAGGGCATCCTTGAATATATCATTGACCTCTGCCAGCAAATTTAGTGTCTCTGCACTACTCTGTATCCACAGCACCATTTCCAATAACTTAGAACAGAGCAAACCTCCGGAGTCACAGGGGTTTGGGAAACTGAATCTGAAAGAAATTTCTCTAATGATGCATGCAGTTTTTATAGCTCTAAATAGAAACGGTTTTAGTTACACAGGATAAATTCACTCAAGTTAAGGTCTAAAGCAGGCCTAAGGCCTCATACCAGGACCTTAAAGTATGGGACTAGTAATTACTTCAGGCTTCATTTCTATTAACACAAATGACATAATTTTCTAATGGGCCAGGAGGAAGTAGAAAAACAATCTGACCATGCAGGTATGGTGTGACAATCCCTCTGCTCTGCTTGTCTGCCTCTCTTGAAAAGAATCCTCTTTAGATATTTTTAGTTCTAATTCTTTAAACAGAAGTTTTGATTTCTGCATTTTTAAATGAAGCTAACTAAAAGGAGCTAGGCTCTGGACAAATGGCAAAACTTATGTTTCGAAGTTAAGCCTGCTCCCTCTGAACCTGATGGTGAAACTCAAATGGGCACATCTACATGGGACACCTTGATGTGCAGTGGACCGTTCTACTGCATATTAGCATGTCATGGCAAAAAACGCTGTAATGCGCTAATGCACAGTAGAATGAGTCTACTGCATATTCAGCATCACAAAAAAAGTTTGCCCTTGCTATTGCACTTTAGCGCAGCTACTGTGCCTTTATCTAGTACCTCATATTAGAGGTACTAAACTTAATGCACAGTAGCAAAGGCTCATTAATGTGTAGATGCACCCAATGAGTGCTGCTTAATGATGAGAAAAATAACCAAGCAGTGGGGGTCTCAATGATAAGATTCAGGTGCCCACTCCTAACAGACCCTGGAGTTGTACTGGAACAAAAATGTGAAGCTTAGGTTTCAAGGTTGTTTAAAAATAAATCAAGAGGCAAACAGTTAAGAAGGGAATCACAGAAATGCTGAGATCCAAAACCATTTATTGAAATGAAAAGGATGGGAAGTTACTGCAAAACCAGGGCTGAAGACATAGAAAGGATGTTCTTTTATGTCAGGTTTCTTAATAAAGAGTGGCCATAATTTCTGATCCTTTGAATAGTCTATTTTTTCATTCCAAAGGATGCTCCTTGAGTGCTTTGGAAAGATATTATTTTCTCCACTGGAGTGGCATAAAAATATATCTGTCAGTTATTATATACATATGTATGGGTTGTATTTCTTTTGTGGGAAAATATCACTATGTCAGTATTTAAAATTAGCATTATACTTTTCTTTATCATATTGCAAACTTTTCTGTACAGAAATCTGAATCTTCCTCTGAACTAGTCAAGTCCACTACTGCTTTGCAATCTTTTTAGGCACAGATGTAACATATGGCTTATATGCCAGTCTGCTCCTAATGTCCAATAACGAAGTACCTACACAGAGCTCCTGTAACCTGAAACAGGCTTAGTGGTTTAGATCCACTTACTGCCAGAATAAATGTTAGGTACTTTGATAACCAAAACCAGCCAATCTGGGCATATCACAAAGAATACAGCAAAACCACAATCAGTGACATTTACTACAGCACATCTAATCTATGGCATCAATTAACAATAACATCTCTTACAAATTTTGAAGTCCAGCTGTGAAATGACCCATATAATAGGAAAAAAATAGGTCATTTTTTCTTTTTTTAAACAACGTTTCCAATATGACATGGCTGACAATAAGACGAAGCACATTTGTCAGCGAGTTAACGCTATAAGCAATGACCCTAACAGTCTCTTTTCTATGCACAGTTCTAAAGTCTCCTCCAACTACAGTTGCAAACTTCTATCAATTAAAAAGCATATGGGAGCCCAGAGGGAAACCACTCTTTCCAATCTGTTTGCAGCTAGTGGAATTCCACACCTTGCCTTTTATACAATAGTGCAACTTTGCCAGAACAATAGCCTCGCTGTTGAGTCTCTGAACTGAACAATGGCAACAAAAATGGCCTAAATTTTCAAGACTGGCAAAATGTGTTGAAAACGAACAACCTTGCATACCAATAGAACTAAAAATCAGTTTAGTGCAATAGAGAACTCTTTTCATCAAAGTGCAAGCTTTGTTATGTTAATGTCACATCTGCAACAGAGCAATCCTTGTTGATATTGGGATGAAATTTTTTAGATCAATCAGTCTATGTATTCAGTTTAAAAGACAACAGAAAGAGACATAAACTGGGTCAAAACATTTCAAAGCTGATTCTCCTTTGTAGTCAGATGTGTCAGCCTTTCTGTGCATGATAATCCTACCAGAGAAACTTAGAAAGAACAGGAAAGAGGCTCTCAAGTTCGGAATCCTCAAGCTGATGAAGCAGAGAAGACAAAACTCAGACAGTCTGAGATAATCATAGAAATACGATGTTATGAATACCAGCTGTTTTTACAAGTGCATAACAGACAGATTCACTGTCCCAGTTTGCATGTGAAGAATTAAAAGTTGCCCTCCACCCCCAAGCTGTTGTAGATGCAACATTAATTCTCAGGTCAGTAATATCTTTTTAAAAACTAAACTCCATCACAAGTTAAAATGTCTTCCTCCTTTCTGCTCACCCCTGCACATCACAATCAATGTGGTACAATGTCAATTAAAAAAAGAACAAAAGAAAAAACGCAAAAAAATACAGAAGAAATTAAAATAACTGGGAGAAATGGTTCTATTCTGTAACTTCAACACAGCTTTTTCTCCATCTGGTCTGTGGATAATTCTGTTTTGTCCAATCTAATCTTCTATTCAAAGATAAAAGCCACTGCTGGAGGGATTAGAATGGTTCGGAAGCACTTCTGTGCAGGAATGCAGCTTGTTGGAGGAAGCAGGGTTTCCATTGGGCAAGAGGCCGTCTCCAGAGTATCCCACATTAGCATTGCTTAAAACACAATCATTTTCAGGCTAAAAGGAGAGAGAGAGAGAGAGAGAGAGAGAATACTTAAGACACATTGGAACACGAAACACTGTAGGCAAAAATGTAAGGTGTTAGCATGGGAGACCCTATATCAATTCCACAGTCCACCAGACTTACTGTGTGATTTAGGGAACCTCACCCCAGTTTTCCATCTGTCAGAAGCAGCATTCCCCTGCTGCGCAGGAAGGTACATGCACTAACAACTGTGAAGTGCCTGCCAGTAATGGGGTCAGATAGGTACTTCAGACAGTCCTGGAGCTCAGCCACCTCACCTAGGGCTCAATTCTGTGGAAAGGGGCACATTGTGCTGTAGAATCTGCTGTGCATGGCAAGAAATACTCTCCAGAACAATATTCACTATGGGCCTGATCCAATTCCTGTTGAAGCCAATGAAAGATTCCCACTGACTTCACTATAGGATGGGCAAAAGCTTAAAACAGAGGCTAGTTTTGAACACCAATGGTTTCGCAAGTGACTCGTAATTTGGGGTGCCAGTGACAGACTCCTGAAAGGGACTGGATTTTCAGAGGGCAGGTACTCAGCATTTTCTGAGCATCCAGCCTTTTCAAAGGGGTCTCAATATGGACACCCAAACACGAAGATAACCCAACCCATTCCCCAGAGAAGTTGTGGAATTTCCTTCACTGGAGGCTTTCAAGAGACCGAAAAAGTTTAAGGAATATGAATCCTATATTTGTACAGGACATTGGACTAAAAGACCCCTGAGGTCCTCCCCAGTGGGTCCCTTATGAAACATCTTGGCCCAGTGGCAACACATAGAGAGCGCACAGGGGTGCATGTGCACCTCCTGAGAGCACTGGTGCACCCCCTGACCAACTGTGCTCCCTGCTTAGGTGATGGGCAGGGAGGGCAGGCGGGAGTGCTGGTGTTGCATTGCAGTACCTATCATTGTTTTAATTGCTTATATTGCTATTTTTATCATGAATTATTTAGCCATTAAAGTAAAGTTAATCTTGTTATGATTCACTTTTCATACTATTTTAATCAGTCATTATTGTTCTGGAATTAACCATCTATTTTAAATTTCCTATTACTTAGCATATATATAGTTAACCTATTGGTCTCATGATTTTAGAACTTAAATTTGGTATAAGAAAAATGCTTATGTAAGGTCTGTGGTATGTCTGGCATGTTTGAAAAGAGGTAAGGAAAGAATGAATTATGTATGTATGTGACCATGTAAAGGAAGACAGCCCTCTTGCAGCAGGTGAAAATAGCCTTCTGTCGTTTAACAGTTAAAGGTTGCAGCAACGTCGAGTCAGCAGTTAAGGATTACCAAATACTAAATCATGCCTTCACCCTGATGGCTGAAGACTACAAACAATGACCTCCCTGAAGATTGCAGACCACAAAGCCAGAAGATCATGTCCTACCAATCCCAGCCTGCCAACAGGACAAGGAGGATGACCTTCATGTCTGACTCAGCAGAATCCATAGGCTTGTATGGACAGCTATCACTATAAAGAATGAATACAAAGGAAAGGCTTTGGGTCTGTTCACCTGCAAGAAGGAGTTTTGGGCACATCCAACAAGACCTGACTCCATTCCTCGTGGTCGGTCTGGCTAGCCACCACACTGACCCAAGCAACTTTAGAACTTGGTAATGCTTTAACCTTTGCAGGACTGTCTAACTATCTGTGTGTGTGCTTGTTTCTTTTGTATGAATGAATGAACGGGTATGTATGGGAATGAGTGAAGCAGATAGCTTTACTGTTCTTTTTTTCATGTTGCATGTTTTATGTTCCAATAAATGTGGCATTATGCCTTATCCCCTGATAAGATCCCTGCTTGTTCTTAATTCACATTGTACACCCTGTGTGGAAAACACTGGTGCCCCCCCACGAGCACTGGCTGGGGAGTGGGAGTGCTGGATGTAGCACTGCGGCTGCTTCTGGGAGCTGCGCAGCTGCTTCCCAGTTAGTAAGTTTTGCTGGGGTAGACCACCGCCCCCCTGCCCCCCAGTCACTGACTGGTCGCTGGGGGGAGGGGGGGGCACATTCCCCCCCTAAGGTGGCACCAGTCACCCATGTCTTGGCCTACACGTATGGTTGCTCTCATTAGAAATGCATTATACCATAACTGGATTTTTGTTTTCTTTTGTGTTAATGGGAAATTGCACAATGGAGCTTCCAGAATGAGAAGTACGACATAAGGTTTCAGTGGAGCACCTAATGACATGCAGATTGAGTGCTGTGCTGGCATGGTGTCCCTCTGAACCTGCTGAGGCTGTACATGCTGTGGTATTCTGTGCAGGTGTTACTATATCCTGGATGGGGGAATAGTTGTGCAATTTTCTGTCCAGAGGCATTGAAACAGTGTCTGCTACTGCTTTATTCCCTTAGCTGTTCCCCAAACATACTCTGACCAAGACTAGAACACTGCTGTGATCAGAGACTATGGCCATGTGTCCTAGTGTCCTGCTTTGATTCTGGGTATAACAACTGTCAGATGACCAAAGGTAATATCCCAGCAGATCAGTGGTGGTGCTTCCTATAACAAGTCTTGGATTATGTTGACAATGCAATTGTTATTTAAACATCCCAGATACTAAGAGAGCAGAAGCATATGAAGCACCCTTGTGTTCATCTGTCAGAGGAGCTGAGGTGCTGTTCCAGTGATAAAGGATGCCAGGTAAACAGGAAGACAGGGATGTAATACTCTAGAGCAGAGGTGCTGAACCCCTGGCCCATAGATCAGTTCTGACCCCCAGATCCTCATCATTTGGCCTGTCAGGGAACCCCGTGGACTGTGGCTGCGCATGCCAAGCAATGTGAGACTCAATCCTGGCACACACAGCAGACAGAGGCAGCATAGGGCCTTGGAGCTCAATCTCCATATGTGGGACTCAGCAGAGGTGGCATGGGACCCTGGGGTGAATGGGAGGGCCAGAGGTACATGGAGCTAAGCGGAGGCAGCTCAGACCCCAGAGAGTAATCCCAACATGCAGGTTTGGGCTGAGGCAGCATGGGTCCCAACCCTGGCACACAGAACCTAGAAGAGATGGCGCTGAGTCCAGGGCCCCAAATCCTAGCATGCAGGGCAGTAGTGGTTCTGGGTCCTGGGGCAAGCAAAACTGGATGGGAGCAGTGTGGAGTCCCAGGGCTCCAATTCCAGCATGTGTAGCCAAGCAGGGATGGTGCAAGTCCAGGTCTGGCCATCCGGGCCTGAGCCTGGAGTATGGGGTCCAATCCAGCCTGCAGTACCTGTACACATCCCTTTCCTTTCAACGTGAAAGGGTGGATGCTTCTTGGATGGGCAGGGGGCTCTGCATCCCCTGGGCTGTGCCTAAACCTACTTCTAGCCCTGTGTGGGTACTATGTATACTTGGTTAGTAAAATTTGTAAGCTATAGATCTTATCTAAAATGCACTGAACTTAAAGGGAATCTGTTTATTTTCTTGGAACAGCCTAGACCAGGGATCAGCAGCCTGTTGATAGCAAGGACTGGAGGTTACAATTGGGCTTTTGCTGTGGGCTGGAAGCCCCTCTCCAAGCAACCGGCTGCCAAATTCCCAGCCTGCCTGTGGCAAAGGTAAGCTTAGACACTGAGGAGCAGCACATTCTGCAGCGAAGGGGAGTGGTGCAGAGCAGTTCCCCAAGACTGATTCCCCAAGCCAAACTGAACCTCCCCAGGGCAAGTTGGACCTCTCAGTGGGCTAGATCTGGCCCGGACAGCCATAAGCCATAGATTGCCAGCCCCTGGCTTAAACTGGGCCTGTTGAACTTTGGTGCCCCGGGGCCAGCTTCAATCAGCCCCCACTTGTGGTATGCAGATCCCCTGTGTGGCAGATGAAAAGTATGTCTGTGTGATAAAGGTGCTTGCTGAAGGTTCTATGAAGATTAGACCAAGTGTTTTTCTGTATTTGTTTAGATATTAAGCTATGTGTTGTTGCTAAAAGCCTAATTAAAGCCTAGAAGTAGTAAGGCCCTGTGGCACAGTTAAAATTACTTTCTCAAAGGAATGCAAGGCTTGTACTGCTATTGGTCAGTCTAAGGACAGTTAAAGTAAAAGGAATCTGAGTGGTTGTACATTATCAGTGTCTTTCAGAAGCTATAAATTAGCTG